CGGATCAGGGGGGAGGTGGTGGAGGAGGTGGAGGATTACAAATACTTTGGAGTGGTGATCGACCACAGACTGGACTGCAAATCTAACACAGATGCTGTGTACAAGAAGGGGATGAGTAGACTTTACTTCCTGAGGAAGCTGAGTTCCTTCAATGTGTGCAGCAAGATGTTGGAGACCTTCTACCAGTCTGTTGTTTCCAGCGCCATTTTCTTTGCTGCTGTGGGTTGGGGCAGCAGCATCAGAGCCAGCGACACCAACAGACTTGATAAAATCATCAAGAGGGCTGGCTCTGTACTTGGTCTCAGGCTGGAGTCTTCTGAGTCCGTGGTGGAGAGGAGAATGCTTAATAAACTGTTATCCATCATAGACAATGATCAGCACCCTCTCCATCACACAGTGGACAGACAGCGGAGCGCCTTCTCTCACAGGCTGCTCCAGCTCCGCTGTCGAAGGGACAGATACAGGAAATCTTTCCAGCCACATGCCATCACACTGTACAATAATACCAGCTAAAACTCTGTTCATAACAATACAGTCTCCAAGCACCTTATATGTTTATCTGTTCACTGCATCTGATATTTTTACTTTGCACTATAATTATACTGCTTATTTATACGTTTTATACATTTTTATATTGCATTTTATATTGCTCTTTTTATATGCCTAGGTTATTCTTTTTACTTACTGTGTGTAACTGTGTGTAATGCTGCTGCTACACTGTAATTTCCCAGCTTGGGATCAATAAAGTATATCTATATCTATATAGATCTATATATCTATCTATCTATCTATTTTTCTGGGCAGAAGTCCACCTTCCACCCACCTACAGTTTCTGGTCTTTAACATTTTTATTCAGTTTTGTTTTCCATCTGATTGAACTGCAGTAAATGATGGACTGTTTGTTGATTTGTAATCATATAAGACAGGGCTGTGAATGAGGCCTGTCAGTGTGATCAGGCTCCTCCTTCTAATCCACCAACTTAGTGTTGATGAAGACTAAACAGAGAGATCACAGCCTTCTTTCTACTTGCTGTAGCTCACAGTTACTCAACACTGCAGATATGACGCAGCCTCTGTTCATCTCAGTGTTGCTGGCTGCTCTGTGTGTGTGTGTGTGTGTGTGTGTGTGTGTGTGTCTGTGTGTGTGTTACAATGTGTGTGTGTGTGTGTGTGTGTGTGTTACAGTGTGTGTGTGTGTCTGTGTGTGTGTGTTACAGTGTGTAAATGAACTTGATCAAGGTGCACCAGAGTTAACAATAGAGCTCCAGTGAGAGAGAAACAGTCAAACTGCAGGGATTCATTAGTTTAGTAATATTGTGTAACTTTGATTAGCACCCAGCAGCTGGGGTTGCTCACTAGGCTTTATGTGGAGTCAAACCGACGAATAAAAGTTTTCTGATCCATTTATTTAGCGTTACTGAAGTACTGCTATTACTGAGGATATAAGTGTAGGTCCAGTGTAACATCCTATACTCATATAATCTCCTATTGTATTATAAACACTGAGGCTCACTGCTGAATGTCTGTTATTGCACCGGGAACTTGTTCCAACATCAGTTACAGTCAGTAAATGTCCTGTGTGTGTATCTGCTGCCATTAGATAGACATTGTGTTGGTAACCTCAGACTGTTTCAACAACACATCACTACAGTTAGCTGCAACCAGGAACCAGAGACATTGCTTATTATTTTAGTTTATAACATATAACAATATAACATTATAACAATACTGTGAGCCACAATGAGCTGTTGTACTGTATTATATTACACTGTATATTATATTATACTGTATTATATTATACTGTATATTATGTGCTGCCTTACAAGTAACACTGAATCCTCCATGTTTTACAGGTGAGCTGATGAAGCTCAGGTGTTCCTGGACCCATCAGAGGACAGAGACAGCTGCAGCATCAGGACAGTCTGGGTATCCAAAGGAAGACTGATGAAGATGAACACTGACTGCAGAGCTCCATTACCAGCTCACACTTCAATATACTAGAAAACATAAACCTTGATGGAGAACATGATCTGCACAGTTTACATAAAAGTTCTAGCTTTGTTACTTACAACATGTGTAACTGGAATATGAATGAAATATAAATAAAGTGTTTTACTTTTAAGAAGAGTTTTGGTCATTTTTAAATTCAGTAATAAGTGTGGTTTTATATAAATAACATGTTATTTCACAGAGGTTTTATGAAGATTTTGAAGTTGAGTTGGAAATCTGGTCATCTATCAATAAGAAAATGTGGAATTTAAACCTGTATTAATGACTGTAAGCAACACAATACATTACTGTCTCACATTCAAACTTTATTATGTTGGAAGATAAATGACATCACAATATATAATATAAATGATAGAATATTCAGTATACAGTATTTTTAATGGGGTTCAAACATAATTGCAGCTTTTACAAATATCTGAAGGTTAACTTTGGTAATAATACTTAGTTAAAATATCAGACTATGAAATATGGATACAGTACTGTTAACAGTTGGTTACTGAGCAGTTTTTCAACCACATAAACAATTGACTTTATTAGATGAGTGATTCCTTCAGTTATGTTGACATGTTGTACAGGATAAAGTATTCCAGGTTTCTGTTTCCATGGTCTCAGTAAACTAATGTGTATAAAGAATATAACAGATGGGAGGTTACAGTAATCATTACACTATTACTCTGATTACTTTGGTACATTTACTGGCTGTTTCTTCACTAGAAACAACTGCTTGACTAATGTTGTTAATATTATGGAATATATAATATGTTTCACTTCACTGGGCTGTGTAGACTGTAGGTCACTGCTCACTGCTGTACCTGGAAAGACATAAAACACAGTGTTGGTTCTCATAGTTAAGGTATAAACACTAACATTATGTGATAGAGGTTCATTATATATAAATATAGCAGTATTTACCTGAGGAAAACGTCACAGAAAGCTGTAATCCTGATTGTTGATGTTCATTTCTCTGTGATTTCAGGTCAGACTCCCGCTCTAACATGTCCGCTGGTGCAGTTTTTGCTTTAGAAGCAGTTATTGAATTAATATTGACGGTAGAAATGAAGATAAACTCAGTAACAGTGAGGAGCTACCTGCCGGCAACGAAGGGGAGGGGCCGGAGCGTCATCTGCGTGAGCCGCGTCATAATGCCGACCAATCAGAGCAGACTGGGCTTTTCGGGAGGGGGGTCTTAAAGAGACAGGAGCTAAAACTGATCGATTCAGACAGAGGCTGAAAAGAGGTGCTCAGCTATAGGCAGTATGAGAAAAAGAATGTGTTTTTTGAACATTAAAACATCTAAACCTATTGTAGGAGAGCCACAAAATACAATTATGAACCTGAAAAGGAGCATAATATGTTTCTCTTCCACTGCATGAGTGAGAGAAAGCACAAGACCTTCCTTTATCATAGATATTTTGTTGATTTGTAAACAAAAACACAACAAAAAAAGGAGATATTATTACATGTACATTTATTTCTTTGGCAGACCAAATGTTTTGTTGAAAAATCCAAACAAGGAACTATAATGTGTTATAAAACTGTATTTTTTATGCATTTTCGTGATCACAATCAATACACATTTATTGTTTCCTTGTACATAGCTGAGATTCTGCTCCAACAAACTGATTGTGTGGATGAAGTGAATCTGTACATGAACAGACTTTACTGATGGGATCTGTGAACAAACTGAAGCTTTACATCATGAATAAACAAACCTGAACAAAGTATTTTCTTCTTGTCATCATTCCAGGGTCTCATACAAAGCTGATGGAGAAACTGTGAAACTAATGAGAAAATAACTGAGGCAGTTTTCCTCCTGAAACAACAAAAAGTTCAGTGTTCATGTTCAGAGCAGAAGAAAAGTCTGTTTTTCCAATTCCCTCACTGAAACAGCTTCATCGCAGAAACATGAACACAGTTTTTTTTAATCACTTTGTCTGTGCACTTAGTCAATGAACAAGATTGATTACACAGACTAAAGAAGACACAATTCATTTGGTCTAGTTTGTGTGAGAAGAGGTTTTGTTGAGTCCTGACACACATGAGACAACAGACATTGTGTAGTCGTGGACTGGTTGTGCAGATTAAACTTCAAAACTTGTGGTGACTCATTTTGTCCAGTGTGAAATATGTCAGACCACAAAAACACCCTGCTATGCTCAAGACTGATCCTCAACTGGCAACAACAAAATGTATCTAAAACACTCTTCTGTCAAATTATTGTTGTATCTTTAATGCAACATCACAGATAAAGTTACTCAGTCAGGACCTTCACGTGCTGTAAAGTGTCAATCAGTGTTACCTTATCAGCTACTTGTTACCTGATGGAAATGATGGCATTTAGTGAATAACAGCAGCACAGCAGTGACAAACACACTATTTGTCAGAGTTGTGAGAGGAAGGAGGGAGGGATTAAGGGAGGAGCGAAACTGAGACTCAAGTACAGAAAAGACAGAAACTTTCACAGTGGTGTTTCATCCAAAAAACAGACAGATTGTCTTTATCTTTAAGATGCTGTCAGTGAACTTCAGTCTGTTTGTGACTTTGTTTCTGCTCACAATAAGAGGTAGGTGAGATCATTAACATTAAAAGAGCTTCATTGATAAAAACCTTTAGATCATAAAGTTACAGAGTTATCTCTTCCTTTAGGTGTCAGCTGTGAAGAACTCACTGCAGTCAAGAAACAAGAGTCCAGTTTAGAAGACAGCACTGTTACTCTGTCCTACACATACTACAAACAAGCAACTGGTAGTGATTATTTCTTCTGGTATCGACAATATCCAGGAAAACCACCAGAGTTCCTCATCTTTCACTTGGGAACACAAAATGAAACAACCTCTAGACTGTCAGTTACAGTGAGTGAGGATAAAACCCAAATGGATCTGCAGATCTCCTCTGCTGCAGTGACAGACTCTGCTCTGTACTACTGTGCTGTGAGGCCCACAGTGACAGCAAACCCACAGTCTCTGTACAAAAACACAAGCTGACACACTGACAAGCTGCTGGAAGCCTTTTTTCCACACTGTTGGACTCAACTTTTTAGCTCCACTAGAGGGCGACATTATCAAGTAGGCGGTGCACTACTTCTGCACTGTGTTCAACCATTCTGTCAATAATAACTGCTGCTGTGAAGAGAACAATTGTCACACTGAATGTTGAACATCAGCTAGTTTCTCCTGTTGATTTAAACCTTGTTGTAGAGATGGAACATTGGCTGTGGATTATTCTTGCTGCTCTTTTCTTTGGTAAGATAGAAAGCACAACATGTTTTTATTCTTTTCTAAAGATTGATGGACACCGTAGACACTGTACACTTGATATTTTCCACTGTCTTCTCCTCTCAGCCTCATGAACAATGTAAGTCTAATGGCTTCATTTTCTCCACTTTTTCCAGGACTAATAGCTGGAGACACAATCTCTCCTGTAGGAGATAAAGTCAGTGGAAGAGAAGGAGAATCTGTCACACTCAAATGTCGATATCAGACAACTGTCAGCTATATTTGGCTTTACTGGTACAGACATTCTGACCTTCAGGCTCCTCAGTTTATACTCTTGAAAGGAGCAAAAGGATATTCAGCTGAATACATTCCAGATAAACGATATGAATCTGAAACAACAGGTTCATCAACTGACCTGACCATCAGAAAACTAACCCTGGCAGACACAGCTCTCTACTACTGTGCTCTAGAAACACAGTGATACAAAGTGTAGAAGAGGCTGTACAAAAACCTGAACACAGATATCTGACTACTCTTCAAAGAGGAGGGAAGTGGTATTCAAACCACAGCTTCATATCAGATGGATTCTGCTAATTCCTGTTTTATCAGAGTCACTGTGGTTACAGCTGCTAATGAAACACTGTGGGAGGATTCACATGAGCAGCAAATCCACATCAATGACAAACCAACTGGATGATGCTTCAAACACAAGACCATTTTACAGACTAAAAGACTTTTCAACGATTAAAGTTTTGTTAGTTGCAGCTTTAATCATGTTTTCTGTTCCAAGATTTCTTTAAACATGTTTTACACTCACAACAGTTAGAATGTCTGTACAGTGTGCAGTTTGGATGTTACAGGAAGTTGTTTCTCTACAGATGATTCAGTTGAGTTTTCTGCAGATTCCTCCTTCAGTCTGACCTTCTTGGATGATGAGGATTTCAGCATCACTGTCATTTCTAAAGCTTCCATCAGCCTGAATGCAAACAGACCACAGCAAGAGGAGGAGCTACACAATTCATTTTGGAAGTGAAGAGCTGCTGTGTTCTCTCTGTTGTTCATTCAGTACAAGTGGAAATAATGCAGCTCTCTTTAGTTTGGATGATGATCTTCATCTTTCATACTGGTAAATCAACTTCAACAAAATATGTTAGACATGATTCAAAAACATTTCATGTTCTTTGCAAATTCATGAATGTTCTTCTACAACTAAACTCACTTTAGAGAAATACAGACGTGACAGTGAAATATATCTTTGTTCTTTTCAGGATCCTCTGAGGATTTAGTGAAACCATTTAAAGATGTAATGCTGGCTTTGGAAGGAGACACTGTGACTCTCTCCTGCAAATATTCAGATTCTGTCAGCAACGTTTTCTGGTATCAACAGAAGTCCAGTTCACCTCCACAGCTTCTCATCATGGAATATTCAGAGAAAATAGCAAGGTTGTCTTTAACACATGACAAAAATTCAAAGGAGTTTCATCTGGAGATCTCCTCTGCTGCAGTGACAGACTCTGCTGTGTACTACTGTGCTGTGAAGCCCACAGTGACAGGAAACACCAAAACTCTGTACAAAAACCTGACAGCTCCTCACTGAAGATTTACACACTCCAGCTTCTGCTTTTACTGAACAACAGCCCCATCAAGTGGACACTGATAATAAGATCCAGTGATAAAATAAATAGTTATTCAGTTAACAGTCTGTCTTAAAACAACATTCACATGTTCATATGTACATTAAAACATGATTCTTTCTGTAATCATTCCTCCTGTTCATACTGGTCTTTAAAATATATTTTCCTGATGTCAATTCCATCCTAGTGATGGGGGACGAACTCCATAGTCCTCGTTCTGTACAGAAATATATTCCAAAGTTCAGTTCAAGGTAATATGATGATTCAGCAGTCTGAGTTACAAAAAAAAAGATACCATCTAAATCTTTTTGTGCAGAGGCAATTTCATGTTAAAAGTCTTAAACTTTAGAAGAAACCCACTGGATCTCACTGTGGAAGTCTCATATTAACTTCAACTGTGTCCTCAGTGGAGGGGAATCCACCATCCTCTGTGAACCATGAATATCTGGATAAAAGCTCATGACAATCCATTCAGCAGTTTCTGAGATATTTCACTGCTGAATATAAATGAGATGTAAATGTTGAGAGTTCCTCAACAGATGATAAAGAGGAAGGACCAATGATGTGAAGGCCCAGATCCATCAGAGTATCAATGTTCTTCCTCTCTCTCCTCCCCTCTCACTGCAGACATGAAACACTGGCTGAGAAACATCCTGATTCTGACTCTCTGGCTAGGTAACTCTTTAAACCTACTGATTGTTCTCCTTTAATCAATCATATTTATTGATTCATCTCTTCCTCTGCATGTTCTCTTCTTCCCCAGAGTGTAAAGGAGAAGACAGAGTGACCCAGCCACCAGGAGATGTCATTGCTACTGAGGGAGAGACAGTTACACTTGGATGTACATTTGAGAGCAGTTACCCAAATCCAACTTTGTTCTGGTACAAACAGGATGGAACTGATTCCCCAAAGTTCATGCTGAAATGTTTCTCAGATTCATCAGAAAATGCTGCTCAGTTTAAGAAAGACCGATTTAATGCTACAATCAAGAATAAGTCAGTTCCTCTGAAGATCCAGAAGCTTCAGCTGTCTGACTCTGCTGTGTACTACTGTGCTCTGCAGCCCACAGTGACAGGAAACACCAAAACTCTGTACAAAAACCATTGGAGCAAAGAATACGGAATACTCCACAACATCCACTAGAGGGAGTCACACACTGTTAAACATAAATGGTATGTGATAATAGGGTCTGACAGGACTGAGATGTAAAGCTTTAGAAATTAAACTATTGACACTTCATTGTAAATTAAATGTCATCAAGGTAACCAAGGTAACACTAAAATAGAAAGGATTATACCTTTCAGATATAATAAAGCAACTTCTGTATGAAGCAGTGAAGCAGTAAAGATACAGCACAAAATAAGAGAAATGTTATACATAAAGTCACACAAACGTGTGTAACATTTCATAAAATTGTATCAACAATTGAAGATATGTTATGTTTTATATCTGTCATGTGACCAATGATTAGGGTCACGCGTCATGTGACCAATGATTAGGGTCACGCTAACCGCAGCTTCTTCCTGCAGCTGTAAAAAAGGATCTTGAGATATAGGGAGCGCCAGACAATTGTGCAAAATAACTCCATATATGGAATAAATGAGTTGTCAGTTACATGCAAAGGTTAGATAGTGTTAATCACTCTGTTGCAATGCGAAGGTTAAATAGTGTTAATCACTCTGTTGCAAAGAACAGGCGTATTGTCTATCGGTATGTAAAGTTTCAGGTTACACCCGGAGGCGTCAACATAAAGTTGGAGTCAGATACCACGAGGACGAGGAGGGAAGGCGCCTACAGCTGATGGGAAGAAGACAACGTCTTACTGTGACGTTTCTCACAGATGTACTATAACACACTGGGTCAGGGAGAGATAGCGGTCAGACTTTGTGAACTGACACACACTTTGTTGCTTGTCAGAGATATTATAGTCTGGACCCAGAGCTCTGTAAACGTTGCATACTCTACTGGTGTTAAGAATAAAGCTGATTATTGAGTAAACTAAATCTTCTCCTATCGCTTCATTAAAGAACACGAGAGGCAATGGGCTAAGAGAGGAGCCCCTCCTCAACAATATGTAAGTGCTGTAGATACAGGTCATAGGTCTGTACTCTCTTTCTGATTCATATAATACTAACAATCATGACATTTAACTCAATTTTATTCATTTTAGTTTGAGTGAGTCCAATAATTTGACACTATTTGGTCTTTCAGAGACAGGTAATAAAGATTTTATCAAGTACATTTGACAAGAATACTGAGTTAAAGAGCACAGGGCAGATACAGGACAGAGGCCATGTTTAACAATTAGGACCTCTCTCATTTTTTTATTATCTTGCTTCTTCTCTTCTCTTGACTACTATCAGGAATTAATCGACCATGTGGGTGTTGGGCCGTTGCCCTCACAATGTCCATTCATTCTGTAAAATGGACACCTCAAACTGCATGAATCCACTTATACCATGGTCACTTTCCAATGAATGAAAAAAATAATCTGTATTTTATATTTTCATGTTTTGCAATCAAAGTCTAAATTATTTTACAAGCCCTAGTGTTTCCCTGGTAACACCTGAGGGTTTGACTAATACCTGGAAGAATCATTACCAACCTATAAGGTTCTGATGCAACAAAAACAATGTTCACTACTCCAGTAAATAGGACGAACCATAGATACAACTTGGAAAATTCCTCAGAGGCAGCAGAGTCCACGTCCTCCGCAGCAGAAGAGGAAGATGAGCAGGAAGAGGCAGCCACATCGGTGCCCCCCCCCCCCACCAGAGGATCAGAAGGTCCATCAGCAGATGGGCCTGCAGAAGGCGGAAGTAAGGACGGGGCAGGCTGGTCAGGATGCAGACGGTGAAAGTCAAAAAATGACGTCCACGGCGGCGAGAGCGAAGGAGGCGCCTGACAGCATACACCGGACCGCCATCAATGGGCTGAGGAGGCGGAGGAGGCGGCATGGGAGGAACCAGAGGACTCTCTCGGACTGGCTTGATCCTGGAGACATGGAACGTCGGGTGAATCTTCATGGACCGGGGAAGCCGAAGACGTACCGCCTCAGGGTTGATGATGCGAGCAATAGGAAAGGGCCCAACAAACCTGGGAGCCAGCTTGCGGTTCTCCACCTTTAGGGGCAAGTCACGGGAGGAGAGCCAGACCCTCTGGCCAACCTGGTAGGCGGGAGCAGGCGTGCGGTGCTTGTTGGCGGCAGCAGCGTAGCGGTCAGCAGACCTGAGGAGAGCAGTACGTGCCTGGTCCCAGGTGCGCCGGCAACGGTGAACAAAGGCTTGTGCCGATGGGCAGGCAGTCTCCCTCTCTTGGTTGGCAAATAGTGGAGGCTGATAGCCATAGGCGCACTTGAAGGGAGAAAGTCCAGTAGAAGAGCAGGTGAGGGTGTTGTGGGCATATTCTACCCAGATCAGTTGTTCATACCAGGAAGCAGGGTTGTGGTTGATCAAGCAGCGAAGAGTGGTTTCCAGGTCCTGGTTCATTCTCTCTGTCTGCCCATTGGACTGGGGGTGGAAGCCAGAAGACAGACTGACAGAGGCCCCAACTAGACTGCAGAACTCCTTCCAGAACATGGATGTGAACTGGGGCCCCCGGTCAGAGACAATGTCAGTGGGCAGTCCATTGAGACGAAAGATGTTCTGCAGAACCAGTTCAGCTGTCTCTTTGGCAGAGGGAAGCTTGGAAAGGGGAATGAAGTGGACCATCTTGCTAAAACGGTCGACAACTGTGAGGATGGCAGTGTGACCTTTGGAAGTAGGTAGGCCAGTTACAAAGTCCAGGGAGATGTGTGACCATGGGCGATGAGGAACAGGCAATGGGTGCAGGAAGCTGGCTGGTGGACGACGAGAGGTCTTGTTCTGGTTGCACACAGGACAGGCGTTGACATAGCCTCGGACGTCCTCTTCCATTGATGACCACCAGAAGCGCTGCTGCAGGAAGTCTTGGGTCCGCTGAATGCCAGGGTGGCAGGCGAGCCGGGAAGCATGCCCCCACTGGAGCACATCGGAGCGGAGGTGAGCTGGAACAAACAAACGGTCAGGGGGACAGGAACTAGGACCAGGCTGGTCCTCAGTGGCGGCCCGCACCCTCTCCTCTATTTCCCAAGTGACAGAAGCAACGAGACAGGAGGCTGGGACGATGGTGGAGGGCTCAACCGTTTCATCAGGACACTCAGGAAACAGCCGGGAAAGTGCATCTGGTTTGATGTTACGAGACCCGGGTCGATAGGACAGTGTGAAGTTAAACCTGTCAAAGAACAGTGACCAGCGGGCCTGTCTGGAATTCAGTCTCTTGGCAGATCGAATATATTCCAGGTTGCGATGATCAGTCCACAAAATGAATGGCACCTTGGCTCCCTCTAGCCAGTGGCGCCACTCCTCCAAGGCCAGTTTCACCGCCAGAAGCTCCCTGTTACCAATATCATAGTTCCTTTCCGCGGGAGTTAGGCGGCGAGAGAAAAAGGCACAGGGGTGGACCTTCTGGTCAACGGTGGATCGCTGTGACAGAACCGCCCCCACCCCCACGCTGGATGCGTCCGCCTCCACACTGAACTGGCGATCAGGGTCGGGTCGGGGATCTGGAGGATGGGAGCAGTCTTGAGGGTGTCAAAGGCGCCTTGTGCTTCGTCAGTCCAGCGGAAGGATGTCTTGGATGAGGTGAGGGCCGAGAGGGGAGAGGCAATGGAGCTGAAACCTCTGATGAAACGCCGGTAGAAATTGGCAAACCCCAGGAAACGCTGCAGTTGCTTGCGTGTCTCCGGAACTGGCCAGGAGGTCACTGCAGAGACCTTAGCTGGATCCATCTGCAAGCAGTCCTTGGCAATGATGTATCCCAGGAAGGAGACTGAGGGTACATGAAATTTACATTTCTCTGTCTTGACATACAGGGAATTGTCCAGGAGGCGGCGGAGGACAGATCTGACATGAGTGACATGCTCCCCCTGGTTACGAGAAAAAAATCAGGATATCATCCAGGTAAACAAAGACAAACTTGTTTAGCATATCCCGGAGCAGGTCGTTGACCAAAGTTTGGAAGACAGCCGGGGTGTTGGTCAAACCAAAGGGCATCACCAGGTATTCATAATGTCCAGTTGGTGTGTTGAAGGCCGTCTTCCAC